AATACTATGTATGTATCTCAGTGAGTCAGACAGCTTAAGTATCTACAAACATTAATTACCAGTAAAAGCTTGATGGTGAAGGAAAGGCAGGCCCAGGTACCGAGCAGAACTGATCATTCAGTCTCAGGACTGTTCATTCAGTCATTCAGAACTGATCTTTTCTACAAAATGGCCTCAAAATATATATAACATAAGAGCTAAACACAGTAGCTTGCACCTGGCTATGGCAACTCTTCCATGAAGAATTTTTCACACCTAGAAGAAACCAAGAGCTGAAGAATCCACAACTGCCCTTGGTAGATAAAGACAGATAAATCTAAATGAGCTGCAATACAACCCAAAGGCAAATGAAATTCAAGTGCCTCACTTTTCATAACAACAAAGTCAGTCTCTAAAATATCAGCACTTGATCAGATACCTATTTTGCGCTGTTTTTTTCAGACTGGAAGGAAAATAGTTGGTGTGCATATGGACATACAGTCTTTCTAGTCTTTTCCATTTTACTTCTCTTTGCTAAAGCAGACTGGTTGGCTTCACTGTTGTTACTAGTGGGTTTTTCTTTCTAGTTCTCACATACTAGCATTTTTTGTTAAGGTTTTCAAAATCTGGCAGCGATTCTGGATGCCCCAAAACAAATCATTTCCAGAAAGTACAAAGAATCATCCTCAGGGTATCAAGCTTTCCAAGTTACGTCCAAAGCATCCAAACCACGATAATCTCTCTAGGAAACAAACTCAGGCCGTTCATTTGAGAGATGCAGAACTGGGTTATGTGCTACCCAAGAACAAGACAAGAATCCTGATCCCACTGCAGTCAGTACCAGAACTCCAAGTCCAATGAAAACCTGGTTTTCCTGGGGTCCCCAGCTCGGAGCCTGTGCACATGAGGCAGCCCTGTGGAAGCCAAGTCCCAGCACCAGGCGGTCAGCACAAGAAAGGAAGGCATGAAGAGGATGGGAATTTGGGATTACTGGAGAGGCTGTGCTCATCCAGTGCTTTATTAAAACTCATGCAATCTTGTATTACAGGCACTTGGCACACAAGATTTCAGTCGGGAATTGGGAAGAGGAGAGATTGCTGCTTGGTGACAAGAAGCTGGAAGGGTGCTGCGGGGAGGAGGTGCCTGCGGGTGATGAAGGTGCACCTGCAGGCCCTGCCCCACGGCCTCCTTGGGCATCACAAAGGCAGCAACAGGACCCGCCACGGCCTGGCACAGCCCCGACCCACAGAAAGGTCCTGCAGCTCTGGGAGATCCCTTTCCTTCACCAAAACCAACCAAATCAACAGTGTCCCTTTAAGGGGACATCTTAACCCACAGGACATTCATTTAATGCACAGAGCTGTTTTGGATTTTGGTCGCAAAGACGGTCCCAGCAAGACTAAAGCCAGGCACTGTTTCTCTAATGAATTGTTCTAAGCAGCAGGTATTTCTGTTTATTCTGGCTTCAAATTAAAACCCGCCCTGGAATATACAGAAACATTCAACATGAACCACTATGGAAAAATGTTTTTAATGTGAGAATTCCTTTTCTTTTCCACTCACATCACACCAACTAGTCTTTCCCCTTTCCTCTGGGATTAATTCTCTGCTGACAATATTAGGGGACTGGAATCAGTGACAATATTAGGACTGGACAAAATTAGTGACAATATTAGGAGACTGGAATCAGTATTACCTAGGAAGGAAGATTTAAATGAACCGTACATACACTGATGAGACCTGTACCCTGCGGAGACAGGAAACAACCCAACTGCATCAGCAAAGAAAAGGTAAAGTTGTTCAGGATGTTTTGCACAGAATTTGGAACAATCAAATTTGCTTGTACACATACAGCAAACATCCCACTTGCAAAATCCAGGCATATTCCCAAAGTCACTGCTAGTGTAAATTCATAAGCAGTAGCCAGGGTGAAGCCATCAAGGGAGGGAAACTGGATAACAGCACCAGGCCCTGCATCTCTGCAACAGGACTTTTCACCCACCCCTCTCTATGCGCTTCTGAAAGGAAGAAATGACAGAAGAGCAGGATGTCACCTGCACAGTCGCAGTGTAGGAGTAAAGCCAAAACCAGAACTCTCACTTCTCCAGTGAGATTTCAGCATTTTGAAGATGCAAGAAAAACAGACACATTCTAGAAGGATTTGTGACCTTCAGGACTCTCTCAACAAGGTATCTTTGGGTTGGGTCTGTCAATTAAAGGTAGCCAGGAGGTAAGAATGTTTTTCACGGCACATTGCTTCACCTGTGGAGACAGTCTGGAAAGCTGTGTTTCTCAGTTACCTCCGCTGCTTCTACTCAGTTTTCTCCAAGCAGCTCTTCCCTTTAACTAAACCTGCCCATTGCAGCATATACACTATAGCCTGCTTTCCTTTCCAAAACATCAAGCCACAAAGAAAGCACATGTGACTGCAGCAGAGGTAAAGGCATTTTTAACTAGGGCAATTTGAGGATATTTAAGACACATTCTCATTTTCCATTTCCCAATTCCACACTGCCCCCACTTTTATTATTAGTTGAATCCAGGGAAGCTTCAGCCTGGATCTGGGGTAACATGTACACTGAGGAATCAAGGCCAAGCTTTGCCTTGAAATATGCAGGATCATTCCTAACTAACCGTAAAGCTGCTTATTTGGCACCAACAGTGGAAATACTGAACGAAAGGGGCATTCTCAATCTGCTTATGTCACAGGAAGGTTGGATTCTGACAACGAGCAAGGCTCCAAGCTGCAGCCCGATATTAATAGTTAGACATTAAACTCGCAATTTGGCCGGCTTAGAGGCAGCTTGATTGGAACAAAGATTCCTTTGCAGGAAACGGCAGACCTGGTTGAAGCTGCATCACGAGAGATGAGTCTGAGAGCGGCAGCAGGCTGCAAAGCTTCTCACTGCTGCGAGTGCCTCGAGGCTGCGCTGCAAAAAGCAGCTTTCTGTGCTCAAACTGCACAGGGTACTGGAGGTCCTAGGACCCACGGTCGGTGGAACCCGACTGCTGCAAGCGTGCTGCATGCAGGCCTACTGCTTGGTTCTTCTACCCCTCCTGTAGGAATTCATTTGCTTTTAGGGCTAACTTGCACAGCCAAGAAGGCAATGAGTATCCGCAAACTATTTCTTAAATATATATGGTTCTATTCTTCAACACAGTCAGCAAGGTATCACCCTAGAAAGACTTACCTATGTATTTTCACATTTTCTTGAGCTTGTTTCAGCCATTATGTAACCTTCCACGCTACCTTGGCAGCTAAGCCAAGAAAACTTGAATCGAGTCCCCAGAGCAACTGGTTTCAGCAAGGGGCCCCTGCCAGAATACAAATACAAACCTCCTGCTGCTGTTTTCTCTCTGCGTCTGCATGGCAAGCAAAGATTCCAGATAGGTTTTTCAATATGGATCTTTCTGAGCAGAAATGAATATCTCTTACAAATCATTTAGATTTCATAATCCGACTTCCAAGCAACAGCTGGGGCTCAATACTTTCACTGGGAAAATTTTGCTTTGCTTTTTCTCCAAAGAAAATTGTATTGTCACTGAAAAAGCCCATATCTGCAGTACTTATTTCAGTAAGTATAATCTAATGGATTTTTTTATATTCTTTTAAATGTGACTAAGCAACATTAGACTCCGGACTTAATATTGCAAGGCTCAAGGACATCACACTTCTTTATATGAGAACTGCTTAAGCCATACAATCTCCTGTAGCTTTGCACTCAAAATCCCCATTTCGGAGAGGTAGACAGAGGCGTTCAGAATTTAAGTGACTTGCCAAATGTCACACAATGAGTCTATGCCAGAGCCAGGAATAGAAATCAGGAGTCTAGAGGCCAGATTCTCTAGCTTATACAGATCAGCAGCCTCAGTCTCCTAGTTTAGACAAGTCCCTGCTCACTGGGAAAATGCTTCTTCCTTTACAGGATGGCAGTTTACCAGACAGCAATGGACAACATCATTCACAAGAGGGTACATAAATACATATGCATCTGCTGAGATCACACTTTTCTTATTTAATAGGCAGGGAATGAAAATGAGGTGAATAAAGAGAACTTTGAAAAATGCTGTAATCTAAAAATCATTTTCAAGACTAAATGCGATGTCAATCTTTTGACTAGCTTCTGGAAACAACAGCAAGAGATGCAGTACCAGCATAGTTCTTCAAAAATTTCTAAGGTAGGCTGAGAGATGCTGCTGGGACATTTGCAATCACTTCCCCTCAAACTGCCTCTCATCCACTATTATTTGTTAGTGGTGCAGCCTCCCCAGTCTTGAATGGGGGGCTCTGAACCCAGGAAATTCAGGATTCACTTTGGGTTTACAGAACATAAACGAAAAGAAGCTATAAATAAAAATACAATAATCATGGATAAGATGCTGAATTTTGCCTCCAAATACTACTGCTATCATAGTAATTAAAACAAATACTAGGAGAAGTGATGCAGTGGAACCTGTAGCTACCTAGATCAAAAATAAACAAGATATTTACTGTGTGGAATGCAAGCACATCATGTATCCTGGACTTGGATATCATTAGAGGAAGTTAGAAGTAGAAAGTGGAAAAGAAGACTTAATTCAACTGGGGTTTCCTACAAAGAAGTATTTTGCTCTGTGTTCGAGTACCTGCTTGACCTGGGAATGATACACAGGTTCTTACAACACATTTCATTAGTTACCAGTCTTGTCTTGGGTGAGAGACTGCTGAAAGGAGCATTATACTGCCATTCAAAAGACAGTTTCTTGGTCTCCAATTATTTAACTTTGCATCTGCTCCTGCTAAGTATATATGCTTAAGATTACTTCCTGACCTCAGAGAGTTCCACTGCTTAAAAGGAGTTGTTATTTCATGACTTATTTATAGTTCCTATCCCCTTCAACCAATCCACATTTGCACGGTAGAGACAATTAGAATAACAAAAGCACATTAGAACAAAACAAGAAATGAATGATTGCCTGGGAAAGTCCTCTCCACATAGAGCTGGCCATCAAAATACTCCTGCCCTCCTTCCTTGACTTACCCACAGTGTCACAAGGCTCATCTTTGTGTACGCAGAAATCTGTCCTAGAAAGAAAAACAGAATAGAGGTGAAGTGTATCCTGTGCCCCCCAACCTGAGGCTAGGAAAAGCAGCACTGCATGACTCATGTTCTGGGTGTTGAGGTTTTTAACTGCTGTGCCATTTACACTGTGATAGCACTGACTGCTACTCAAGATTACAAGCAATTAAGCTGATCAGCTCTGCATATTGCTGTCCAATGTAACCAACTTAATATTTATCCTACAAAGACTGCCCCATCACATGAGACTGGCTCATTTCAGTGAGGTCAGACTTCCACACTAACTGGACTAAAGCTGAACCAGCATTTTCACTAGACAACTGTAATAAAATGCAGCAGATACAGTGATGCAATAACACCATCAAAAACAGGAGGAGGGAACATGTGGGATACTGACATGTGACATTGAGCTGAGTCCAAAGACATAAGCTGGCTCATGCATACCCACAAATCCACAAACTCTCAGTCCTTCAATTTTTTTTTCTCCTGAAATAGAAAAGCAGAGACAAGAAAGAAGCAGAGCCAGACATACAGAAAGACAAACAAAACCAAGCAGGGAAAAACAAAGCAGACCTCAGGATTTGACAGATAAGAGTTAGGTGAACCGGATTCAGCTAAACGTGCTGCGTGTTTTATAGAAACAGAACAAAAACAGCCTTAAAGCCTACAGTCTGAGTAACACTACGTTATGTGAGAAAACTGTTATTGTCTCATAATGGAATACACTTACAAGTGTGGAAGGAAAAGTATTTTATAACTAAAATACTGTTTTGGGTGTATTTCAGTAAGCACTTAGTCATCACTGAACTTTTAGGAGCATTCTTTACCAGACACGCTCTGCAGTGCCACTCACTCTGAAGAGGAGCTGCAAGAAAGCATCACACATGCTAGCACAATTCCAAAGTTCCTTGGCCCAAGGGAAATCTCTGTGATTAGGCTTTCCTCACGCTGAGAGAGGTTAGTGAATAAATCATATTAATAAATATTTCAAGCTGCACACTAAAGATGCAAGTCACAGATAGGATTTTGAGTTTAAGAGTTTCACAAGGGGTATAATGGAGATGCACTGAAAATACCTTTTTCTTAGAAGAAATACAAAAGGAGGCTTTACATGAGAAAGGCTTTAAGGCCCAGTGCTCCAGCTGATGAGCATGGAATCTTCACACAACCACAAAACCACAAATCAAGTAATTGAGGCTTGGAAGGAAGGAAACAGAGCTGGTAACAGCTCTTGTTCAGACGACCCTGAAAAACTAACTGTACTTCAATGTGGAAAGTTATGATAGCAATTACCAAAGTATTAGAAAAAAATCATAAGGAAAAACACAGAATCAGGAGCAGTGACCACACACGGTCCCCAGAGTTTTGCACGGAAGCCTTTCTGTGTCTCGACACCCTGGCGTTCCAGCCATTCCGAAGTCAACTACTGAGAATCTCCTGCCAGAGTTGGCACGGGCACGCCGAGCTCCCTGGGCCAATCTGACAGAGGTTTATTTAAGGACTTAGCATGTTATATAAACTGGTAAATCAAACAGATGCTTTTCTTGTGACAACAGATAGCTGAACTATTAGCAGATGGCAGGAGGCCATTGCTAGAAAAGCATCTCTCCTCAGGGGCTCGCCAGCCCAGCAAATAAAGCACAGCCAGTTTTGCTCCTTGCACTCATGTTCTGCACTCAAAGGTGCCTGGCAGTTTCGGGCTGCTTCCCAGAGAAGTCACCACCATGCCCTGACGCTGGGCTCCTGTACGTCAGCCAGCACAAGCTGCCAACTCTACTAAGCAGAGAGAATACCCTGATGCTGTCTGCTCATGGAAGAACTTGGAACAAGACAGCAAGAAGAGCTGAACAGAGCTGTCCAATTTACTGCAGGTGGGTCTGCAACTGTAAAACCTTCCTAGTCTACTCTCTAAACCGTCCTAAACACAAATTCAAGAGACCCTGCCCTTCTATTCTGAAGACATGTTCCAAAACACTAGAGTTCAACATTTCCTGATCTTTTATAAAAGGTTTACTCCAAAATTCTGTGGTCAAACAAATGCCAAATGCAAATCTTTACTCAGTGATCACAGGTTCACAACTTAGAGTACATTTTAAACTCATTTGGCTCTTCTACCAAAATCCTGAAATGTGTGGCAGGTCTCTAGTATTCTTCCCAAAGCAAGTAGCCATCCCATCTCACACACCTAGTGAAGAAATTCCCACCCCTTCCCTGGAAATCTCAGGGGAAACCGAAGACTCCAAAAGGCACCAGGAGACATCTTCCCTCTCCTCTATGGAGGAGTCATTCCAGGGAGGTAGGACGGCCCTGTCATGGTACTGAAACTGTTCTTTAAAAAGATTTACTCACTGGACTCTTTTTGGAAATGTTTTCAGCTTTGCTATGTTCTTGTTTTTAAAGAAACAGGGCTGACATAAATGATACTGTAACGATACTCTAAGGAAATAAAGATGCCTTAAGAATCCTCTCCATATGCCATGGATGTTATCACAAAGACTACAGTTTTGTTAGCAGTATATTTTAAGGAACAGAACTCTCAGTACAGGAGCTGCAGTTCAAATCCAAGGCCAAATCTGACCTTATCACGCTACGTACAAGATAATGTATTGAAATCACAGGCTGGAACAGAGAATAAAATCTTCACTTTCAGCTACTGGCTGAACCAAGCACTGTGTTCGCTCTGCACTTCTAGGGACCTCAGAAATTCTCAGTTATTATCACTTGTCGTATTATGAAGAGTGTTTTCATTAGCAGAATTAAACAATATCTCAAAAAATGACAATAAGTTGGGGGGTTATTTTGTCGTTCAATAAAAAGAGCCAGAAAAGAATAACTCAGAACTCCTCTCTTCCATCTGGCTCACACAAACTGGAAAAAAATATCTAACTCTGCTCAGCTAAATTCTGCAATTCAAGTCCTTCCTGTAAGAAAGGAGGACAGTAGTGGAACTGTGCAACATGAATAAGAATATTCTGTTCAATGGCTGCCTCATTAACCTTCAAATGACATTTTTTGATCAGTTCAGTCCTCCTGAGTCATAAAGGTAACAGACAGAGGAATCAGTATAGCCAGAAACTTGCAAGCAAGCAAGACTTTGCACATCTATACATTCATTCAGAAGCACCACGCGTCTATCTCCCTGAATGGGTTATATTGACTAGAAAGAGCAAGAAGAGAGACCAGTGTGCAGGGCTGGCCTTTCGTACAGAATAAAAGCTGCTCTTCTATACAGCACTTGCAGTGCCTGGCCTACACTTGAGCACAGAACCTGAGCCCAGTTTCTATCCTTACCGAAGCTGTACTTCTCCAGCCATTCTGACTGTGAAACTCTCCAAATCCACCAAATCCTGAGATCACCCCTACAATTCTTTCTCAAGTGCCCAAGTCCAACTCACTCAGTCTGACATTCTGCATTCGATTTCGTAAGTTGTAGAGAAAATGCCCAGATTAAATGCTCTGCTCACTCCCTCCACCCCGAGCTTAGAGCACATCAGAAGAGATTCTGTACGACTGGCTTGTCATGCAGGACAACTGGATGCCCAGATGAATTTAACAAAAGTGTTAAGTTATTTATTTAGGCCATGATCCAATAAAGCACATGCTTGACTATAACCAGGATGTGCAGCTCATTCACTTCAAAAGAACTACTCTCTCTGTCTAAAACATTAAGTATCTACTTACTGCTTGGTTGGACTACACTGGGTACAGAGGAGAGAGAAGGATTTAGGGGAATTGCACACATTTGTTAATGGGCATTCTCATGAGCTCCATGGGCCCCATGCTAAGCTCACTAGCTATGCAGTCCACTTTCACACAACACTCACCAATGGGCAGTTTGCAACCAAGAGATGATTACCATCTGAATGGCAGATAGTCAAAAAACATGCATTTTACCTTCACTGTTAGCAAGGGAAAAAAGAAAAAGGATGAGAAGCAACACTGAATTGCAGCACAGAAAGCTCCTGTCTCAAATTGGGGAAACAGGGTAGGAAGGGGCATCTTTCCTAGCACATGCAGCATCCCTCTTATTCACGCTATTTTGGTTTTCACTCTAATTATTAGTTATTAGTGATCAACAATGAATTTTAATTTACATGCTAAAGTATGTAATGAATTTAAAAAGGCCAAGGCTTTGCTACTCAATGTTTTGACAGACTGTGAGGACAGAGGATTTGCACTGTATTCTGTCACTGAGCTCAAGTACTGAAGTTAGAGGGGAAACAAAGTTTTACTCAAAAACGTTTTCCCCCTCACAAAGCTAAAGGAGTTCAGCTAACAAAAAAGCCTTCCAAGTGCCCTCAGATGATTATGACTATAGTAACACTCGGATTCAAAGCAAACGCTTTGGTGCAACAAATACACAGAAACAAGAAAAGCCACTAGACAGCTTGCAGCAGCAAATTTATCATCATCCATGGATCTTTTTATTGAATTGCTAGTGGACCAAATTCCACCATTGACTATGTCCCAGTATTGGTCAAAATAAAATCCTGACTCACTATACCTGGTTACAAAAACAGCAGCATCCACAGGAGGGGTGTCATCTCTTGCACCAGGAACCTGGTTGTTGCCAAGGTATTTTGCTCCACCATACTCTTCATTTTGCCAGTGACAGAAGCTCTCCAGAGACCTCTCTCCATGATGCCCGATAGACAGTTTTGCCTTTTGGAAAGGAAAGGATTCAAAAGAAGAAAGGTTAGTCATGGCATTTACATAAAACACTAGAAACGAGAGGCAGTATAGTATGGCATGCACTAGTTATGTTTAGTATGTAACATATAGCCAGATATCCCTAGCTCTTGCCCATACAGCCCAGGAAYCCTGCTTGGCCTATGAAGCTACAGCAGCAAAAACAAGTTAGGACTCACAGGACGGTTTCGAAGCAAGACTAACTTGGTCACGCGAATGTTGACTTTAATTCCAAGGCTTTGATGTTGAAACATGTTGTACACCTGTCAAAAAAAAAAAAAAAAAGCAAACATCCTCAGAGAAAAAAAAAAGTCCCTACTAATGCCAAAAACTAGTGATAGTTACTTATTGTTCCTGGAACTAAAGTGAGATATTTCCATCTGTGCAAGATGTGAATAAAACAAGAACACATGGATGATGTTACTACACTCAAGAAAGATTTTTTTAAGAGCTACTATATTACGAGGCAAGCAATTCCTCATACTAGAGGATAGCTAAGACACCTGCAAAAGTACTGAAGTACTGTGCAGTTGTTAGTACAGTACTACACTTGGCTTCATCAAGTGACCAGTCACTGACTAATTCAAATAAGATTCATAGTCAGGCAAAAAAACAGAGAGGGAAAAAAAAAAGGCAAATAAACAAGAAAAACAAAGCAAAAAAAATCCCACACCTCCAACCTAACTGTAGAAAGAATATACAGTATATGTTGAACTAGAATAATCAAAGTACAACTACTAAACAATGCAAGAGTAAAATATTCCAAAGGGTCTCCAAACAAACTGGAGTGTTGGGAATCTGGACATACGTTGCAAAGCATCCAACCAGTATATGGATTTGGGGTATTTAAATATCTGAGATATCTGAATGCAAGATGAAATAACGGTGTGTTTTAGAGTTCAGGAAATAGAATGGAAAAGCAATTTCCCTCTGTTATTTTCATATCATATATGAGAATAGTAATAAGGCTGCACATAATGACACAAGCCTCAGGAAATACAAAAATAGCACCGGAAACTACCTTGCTACTTTCTCCAGATTTTGCATTCCAGCTCCGATATTTCACCTCATTTTTATAGGTTAGAACATAAGATTTTAATTGCTGCCAGAATTTTATTCTATCCATTTCACCATTTAACTACTTTGACTGGACTACACAAAAAAAGGTGAGAGAGGGGTTGATATTAGAAAGGTTTAAAATACCACATAACAGCTTTTGGATGAATATTGCATTTCCTATTCAGTCAAAAATAAAAAAAACAAATCCATTATTGTAAAAAAGCTCTTCATTAATGGCAACCGGATTTGGGCCCAGATAAACTATAATCATTATGTACATCTCATTTGGTTATAAATATCACAGAAGCTTGGAAAAATACAATACTGCAGCTCATCTCGCTTCTCCTTCAACAAACTCAAGACATGAGCGTATTCCCGCTATTTTATCTTCAAATGTTGGCATTTTTCGTATTTGTACAAATGATCCAGAATGTGCCTGCTCTAAGAACGTTCTTAAGCACTTTAGTGTTTGGGATTGGATTTAAGCATACACTTATATGTCTCCTTTAATCCAGGCACAGACTGTAAGACAGACACTACTCAGTATTTGACCCACTGACCTTCAGTGTAAGCACAGAAAGTCATTTATCTTCCCTGCAGCTGGTACACAAACACACACAAGTGCTGGGACTATTTACTCAGCTCTGCCGGAGGTTGGTAGAGCAGCAAAGGCCCCTCACTCACTGGAGACCTGGGGGGATAAACTCGGCTCTCGCAGGGCAGTGCTCTGACAGTTGATGTATCTCAGTGCAGACCTGGACACTCAGCTGAGAGGGTTGAAGGTGTATCTTGATAACCGAGTCATTCTCTCACGTAACACATCAGGGACGAAGAAACATTTGCCAGGTCCCTGTGATGGATCCCTTTGATTTGTCTAGATTGGCACTAGGCTCTGAGAATTCCATAAATGTGCACTATCTATGTCTTTATCATTAAACTGAACAAGTGATGATTGTCTTTCCACTAGAGCAAACAAACATCTTGCACTGACAGTGCCAGTTGCAGAGCAATTCAGCATTTGCTGAAGTCCAGCATTTTGGAAACTGTCAGACCTCTTTACTTTTGCCCTCCCTCCATCCCAGGATACCTTTTACCATACATGCATCCATCAGTGATTTCAGAAGAGGGGGTCCCCCCTTGCAGCAGCAACCAGATACTAATCCAGAAAGACACTAGGCAAGCAAGAGGGGCTTTACTCTGCGTGTTTATCCAAACTTTGCTTCCTTATTTTCTTAAACGGAGCCCAAAGGGGCGCCAGATGCAGGGCAGTTTGTATTGCCTAGCAGCAACGAGAGCCTCTGTCCCTCTCCTAACAAAGCCTTGGCTGGCGCAAGCGACCGTCCTACTTCAGTGCGGCCAATGCACTCGAACACAGGCACTGGAGACATCTTCAGCTTCATCTGCCTTCAATGACCGTTCTATTGCGTCTCTAGTCAGCAAAAAGCACTTTGGAAAGTCTCATGCAGAAACACGGATTCAAGTGAGAACTATTTATTCCACCCACAAATAAGCCTGTCTTTCAAAATGTTCCAGAGTTAACATGTAACCAACTCCATGTCGCAATTTCTCTGACTAAAGATAACTCATTTACAAAATATTCTCGGTGTGTTCAGCTCTATCAGTTAGAGACCTACAATGAAATATTCACCACTACATGCACTAGATTGTTTACCTCATTATCARATTTTTCATTAATATAGCATATCATCTTGCTCAGCACTAAGAACTGTGGAAACTGCTATCCTTTTAAATGAGAAATCCAAACTGTCCTGAATTACAGCATTTAAGGCTAGAAGGAACCTCAGCGAGAACAAGATCAACCCTTAAATGACCTGAGCAAGAAACTCGAGTTCAGCACAGGTGATTCACAGCTCTTCTGGCAGCACACAGCCCATGTTAAGCCAGCCTGCATGCAAGGTAGATCATGTCCTGCATGGAATCAGATTCCAAAACAGCAACAACTACCTTCCATCCTTTTTACTCAGCCTTCAAGGACACCATCACTCACAGACATGGGAGTGTCAAGGCTATTTAGACATCCAAGACTCATCCAAGTAGCTATCACCACAACATGAGCTAAGAGCACCAAGTGAGATGACTGAGATAATTGGTGCTGGGGGAGGAGGAATGGGATTTCCTAGTGCAGATGTTCAAGTTTTCCTGCCACATGGATAACATGCATTAACAGGGAGACTGACTCACAGACAACTCCCTTCCCATTTGCAGTACTATGGACCACTCTTCCTCCAGCCTCCAAGTGCATCACACCCTTGAGGCTGCTGTGACCATTTGGGGGGGAGGGGTAGAGAGAACATTTTGGGGTATTTTAGGAGCTTTTAATAAAATCAGACAACTGGGAGAAGAGCCAGCTGCATGAAACCAACTAATGCTTTGATGAGCTCTACCATGGAACAAAATACAAAGGTCTCTGTTTTAGGCTATCACCACAGTTTAGAGCAGCTTGGCTGGAAGAGCAAGGGAGGTTCTTGGTTACCGGGCTGTATGGAAGGGATGTGCAAATTGTAGATGTGGCCAAAGTGCAGTACGAGCTCTGGCGGTTCTTCCCAACACACGCTCCTGCACTCTTGACTTGTTCTTTGAGCAGTCATCGAAAGCACAGAGTGATGTGGTAAAAAGTCAAGTATAACAAGCTCTACCGCACCGAGTGCCCCAGAGAAGAGAAAAGCTTCAAGCTGAGACCATCCTTCTCCTCCTCTGTCCCCATTCATCTTGCCCTTCTTTCTCCTTATGCCTTTGACATGGAAGGGACTGCAGTCTTGACAGGAGCTGTCCAGACCTGCCCCAGCATGCATGAAGCCAACCTACACATGAGGAATTGGGCTGAAAAAGGAACTAAAAATGCTTCAGTTTAATTTTTGTAATTTCACTTCCCAGGTAGGTGGAGGGAGATGTGTGTTTTTCAGAGTTCAAAACACCAATTTTGATCTTGAGGCTGAATTGCCTTTTATTATTAAAAAAAAAAAAAAGGCCTTGCGCTCTGAGGAGAGCCTCCATAGAGTCTCATCTGCTGGATGACATTTGGACAGCAGAAGCGTTGGTAAACTTATGGTGGTTCTCTTACCTATTTCTTGTAAACATAAACACAGATGCTCTTCCGTGACTCTTTGTAAGGCAAGAGTTGACATAAATTTTTCTCTTGGGACTGCTCAAGAGGAAAGAGAAACCTGCAGGCACTGATCAAAGTTTTATACCCTTTTCCCTTACACTGCTGCTCCCACCATGAAAATTCCATAAGGACAGTTATTATCAATGGCAGCTCCTGAGCCTTTGTGTGCCGGCCCTCAAGAGCACCAAGAAGCAAATCCATCAATATAGACCTAGGTATGTGGTAAATGTGATTTTAGCTGTTTCTTGAAGAAGGCTCTCAAAGGGAAAAATCCAGCATGAAAAGTGAGCTGGAGTGTAAAGGAAGGCTTCAGAGAATAAATCATAGTATTCCTGACTACATTTAATAAAAAATCCCTCTTAATGGCATTTGAGAGATTGCTAACTTCAAGTTACTGCTTGCTGCTGCAGGAAGCTTTCTCGCTAAATCACACAGCTTAGCAACAGCTGCAGGAGAACTAACACTGCAACTCACCCCTGCCTGCTCTACCCTCCTCCGAGGAAAAGTTAACTTCAAAACAGAGCTACGCTTAATTCCAAAACCCCCAAATGCACTAGAACTAGAATTAGAATTATTTTTTTTTTTTTTAAATTAGTGATTTTCAATCACTATCCTGTAGTCCTGGAAATTCTGACATCTCTGCCCTTGACTGCTTAGAGGACTAGTCTGCGTGGACTTGGTTTGCCAAGTAAGCTCTGCACGTTTACAGAGGCAATACTTGCAACTCTGTATGTAGGTAACAGCTGAAAACAGTGTCCCCTTGCTCTGAATAGGAGAAATAAGACTGTGGGCAGACCTCTCCAAAGAGTCTAAGATCTCAGTTATGCTTCAGAATAGTCTGAATCACAGAGCTCCCTCCAGAAAGCTGAAGCACAGGCCATGAAGGAAGACCATCCCCACAACAGGCTGCTACAGCTTGCCTTTCTACAAGGAGAGAAAACCTCTTTTTTCCTTACGGATGATTCCTCTTGGACTAACATGAAACAACGGGAAAAAGCACAGAAGTCAACTGGCAAGGCTGCACATGCTTCATCCCTAGGAACCTGCGCATGAAATGAGTGCAAAATGGCAGCTATGGTGAGCTGACTCCCAGGAAGACAGGGGAAATTAGAGAAAACCAAAGCATTGTCTCCTAGTTCAGTTTAGAGGAAGCCCTAAGAGTAACAAGACTTTTTAAGAAACAGACCATCCATGCAAGCTGCCTCCAGATGGATGGAGTGCAATGAGCTGAGCTGACAAGAACAGACTGACAGGGGCAGCAAGCACAAGCACGATTTGCCACAGAGACACTTTGCTCCAGGGAGGTCAGAATTACTGAAGAAGGGGAAGAGCGACAGCAGGAAACAGGAGATGGGCTCATGTCAAGTAATGCAAAGGTGATAGGAGAAGTGAAATGCGGACACTGCAGCACTGTGAAGAACAGCGATACCAAAAGACCTTACCTTTACCTGGAAAAGGGGATCAACAAGGTACTTCCTACTGAAACCCTAATGAGCAAATCCCTGTTTTTACCAATTCCAGGCACAGTAACTCTTTCTCCAAACGGCCTGCAGGCAAGTCTCAACCTTTGCACTTCCGCAATTCTGCTAACATCTTTCCATATCCATGCTCTTGCTTCCAGCATACCCACAAACTCATTGTCTATCTAAAGCTGCAGAAGTACATGGTGGCACTGGACATTAATTCTGTATCAGCTTATATTTTAACACCATCACAAAGCCACCAGGAATGTCTCATTTGGGAAAAATGTGTTGATTCAATTACCTTGCCAGAAATAAGGAAAATATTTCATTTTAGAAGGGGAGACTTAAAGAAAATAACTCTAAGCTCTAAGAGCCATTTTTGTTCCTGTTCATACATTACAGAGGACCTTAGAGGGAAATTCTTCCATGGTCTTAGAAAAAGCTCTTACGACTTCAAATGTTAGTTTATTAAATGGAAGAGCTTATAATTCTAGCATGACAATTCGATCAAAAATCTGCTAGCTCTTCATGGGGATGGTTAAAATTGCAGAATATCACTAAAAATACTGCATTTTCTAGGTGAAGCAGTACCTACTATTTCTGGGTCACAAAACAGAGTTGCTTTGCTTTGTGTCTTCATTGTTACTCAAGAGGAGGCTTTTTTTGCTCTTCTTTTAGGATTCTCATTTATCAAAGGAACAATAAAACTGTATTTTGCAATGCTGTCTTTTTCCTCCCCCTTCAGAAATTCCTGTAACATAAATAGGTATTAAATACTTCAAGGCAGATCACTTTATTTAAAATATCTATAAATATAAAATGCATTAATAGGACCTCTTAATGCTTGTTTTGTGGTTTGACAGTAAACGTAATGGCTTACAGAGAGGACTTAAGTTAATAAACCCCTGACCAGTAATATTCTATTTGCTTAAATGCAGGCACTCATGCCAAAATTAACATTCTGGTTTCTTTTGGAGGCAATCTGCCATCTTGCAGTGTAGCTGAATAAGCAAAGCCTAATACAGGGCAAGTTCTGGCCCCAACAAAGTCACAGAAGGGCAGCAAACCCCTCTGGAGGCAAGTGGGTAACAAAGGCCCTGAGCAGCAGGGAAGCCTTCAACTGGTCAGACATAAAGAGCACAACCCATCCTGCACCAGAGATGTCACCAGTGTTTCCCAAAGCAGTTCGAGTCACACTACCCCTCTGCCCCCATTTTACAGGTGAGAAACTAAATCACAAAATCACCATGACTGGTTTAGGAAATAGAGTCCTGCAGAGCACAGAATTCTATTTAGGCCTACGTAAAATCACATAATTGGCCTATCTTCCCTCTTAAAATGTATTTTCAGAATTATTCTTCAGCATCTTATGTGGGGGTGTTGAGCTGCTTTCATTAAGGCAAACAATGATAAAATTCTCTTTAATTTCACCAATTTCATAACCAATTTTGTCACCAAGGCAGAGGCTTGAAGAATTATGTTCCTATTAATGTGAGAATGGAGGTGGCCAAAGGACAGCGCCTCTTCTAGTGCCCTTCTCACGGCTGAAAAGCTGAATAAATTCAAATGTTATCAGATATCAGCAATACCACATGGATGAACCCCCAGGACCAGTGACTTAACAGTGGGAAGCATTTCAGCTGGACTTTGCACCTTACAAGATGTCAGACAAATGTGTTCCTCAGCCAAGACTCCTCTCCCATGTATATTCTCCAGTGTCTAATAAAGGGGTGAGCTCACACTGCAGCATCAGGATCTAGCTTAAAAGTCCATCAGCCTAATGCACTGGAAACTAAGCTTCATTATTTGTTCAGTAAATGGGTTTAGGTGACCCAACCCATTCAGCAGCACCTCCCTAAACACACACTCCCACCTGGCAAGCTGGCCTTTCCCAGACCCTCTGTCGTGCTCCTCGGTCTGGGCAGACAACAGTTATTCACGGGCACCTTTTGTTTAGGACTTGGTCTGTCAGCCCTACTATCTTCGCAGGTTGATAAAGCTACACAGCAGATACGCACGAATGGTTACACTGAAAGATTTGGTGCTTCTGTGCTAGGTGGGGGACTATAGTTTTGAGAAGACTGAGGCTTTTGTGCCTTCAAGTAAATGCACCCTTAAATTCAAGAAATTCAGTAAAGCCTGAACTGATGGTCAGAAGAATAGGGGGGTTTTTTGAAAAAAGACATTTCCTAGGAACCAACTGAAATAAATAACAGGACTTCATTGTCACTATATAAGTGGTTATTTGCACAGCATGCCAGAAAACAAGACGTGGAAGAAGGGACAGACAGATAAGCAGCTTGTTAAGAGGGGGAAAAATAAAAATAGCAATTAAACTAACTCTCAGCTTAATCAGTGAAGCATTTCACTCTCGGGAGGCTGCCTCATGCCACCACTTGTTAAAGGAACAAGAGCTCTCACAAAGCCCTGCTGCACAAAACATCCATCACGGAATTCTTCTTTGGAAACAGTGACCAGTCGGTTACCATGCAGAACTGTTACTGCTTCCAGGCCAATTTGCTGCTCCCAAATGACAGCAGTGCAGTAGTCAGGAGAAGGAACTGTCCCTGAATGCTACTATCACATGGGCATGGGAACCCAAGCTTCCTCCAAGACTTCCTTGTGCAAGTGCCTCTGGAAGGACCTCTGCTGTCTCTGAGGTGATTTTTCAGCATCCACAACAAATTGAGCTACTGTGTTTTTGCTACAGCTGCCAACAAGCAAGTGAGCAGGCACTGTCAGAGGCTTTGTGGCCCGTGTCAATTGAAACTGAACATTAATACTAACAGCTAATACCTTTACACTCCTACTTCATATGAACTTGCATTTTCAAAAGACTACCTACTCCTGGCAAACTCCCTGCAAACTCTCCAGGATGCTGCTAAGGTCCAACTCCATCCACTATTCTGAGGTGTTGGGACTGCTGCTACATAGAGCACACAAGATCCTGCGGCGGGGGGAAGAGAATGAGATCGGCCAAAACTTGCACAGACCAGCAGTTTGGTGCTGAGTTTGTAGTGTTTTCTACAGTGAGGGAGACAGCTATTTCCATTACACACAAAAAAAACTTGTCTCTAATTAGAAGTCAGATTTTTTACTGTCGTCTCTAGCAACTTCACTTTCTGTATGAGAATGGCCCATAGGAAAAAAAAATCTTATTAAAATCTTTGACTTTAAACTACTCTCATGAAACAAACATCCCCTCGAAGTCTTCAGCAACCTCAAAAAAGTCATGTTAGATGAAACTATCTATCCACTCTGGGAATCTCTTTCCCAAAGTAAACAGTAGCACTACAGAAAACACTAGAAAACACTGCTCCTAAAGAATTATTGCATGTTTTCTAAATGGAAAATGGTAATTTTAGCTTTAACTAAGTTATTTATTGTGATGTCCTTCATCAAATACAGGGGCCCACACAGATGGGGCACAAGAAAACCAAAATCCTTCCTCAAACCTCAGGGCCTTCTAAGTTTTCCAGGCAGTGGAAGCTGCCATTCTGGGAAGGCTCTGCAACACACCTGCCCTGCTGACCTGTGAACATCTCAAATGCACTAGGAGGTCTTTCATTCCACCTAGCAGTTGGAACTGAAAGTAATCACAGAAGCAGTTGATGCTACACATGGAGAGGACCCCTGCACTGCCACCTCTGAAAACAGTACTGTCTTGCACCAGGAACTAAAACACTGGGCTTGCTGAGGTAAGCTGCATTACGCCAAAGGAGACTGCGTAAGCCTGAAGCAAGCTCACCAGACTCACTTTCACATGGCCAGAGGTTCAGCTCTGCATTCCCACATTCATACTTCAGATCAGACCTAAGCAAGAAAGAGGGTTTTACCTAAAAACTAAGAAAAGACTAACCAAAATGTGATATCCCAATCAGCTGTCAGGAAAGCCAGTTCTGACCTTTGTGCTTGCTCCTCCTTCGGGAAGACGTGGGATACTCACCATGTTCATAACCGTGAGGATGAATCTTTGGGCAGCCTCTGCACCATGGTATTGGACCATATCAGCATCTGCCACCACCAGAGTTTCTACTGTGTACTCGTTGGTAAGTCGAATGGCGTTTCTTCTCTCCCTCCAGTCACTAGTTGATTTCATCTTCTTTTGTCTCTTCTTTTCTAAAAGGCAAACTACTTATTAAAGGACATAGTAGCTGTACCTGGAAGATCACAGTAAAACACTTACGCTTAACTGCTTTGTACAAACCCAGACTGCATTGATTTTTTAATCAAAAGTCCTTTGGACTTTAGAGAAGCAACTGAGAGGTTCCATTACAAGCAAAACCACCTCTCTCTGTATTTGTATAAAAAAGAAATCAGATTACGGGAAAAGAGGAAAGAGGAGAGGAAAAGGAGAGTCCAAACAACGGACAATTAGCTGCAATTTGAACCAAGAAGCCACACTCTTGAAAAAGAAAAAAAAATTACATGATCCTCAAACATGTTACATAGTGACAAAAGTACCATTCTGCTACGCGAGAACAAGTGATCATTACGGAAAAGTCTGTTGAAATAAAATTTAGAAACAGAGATTGTGCTGCAGAACACAAATTAGATATTTCTGTAGTCTGTATTCCAATCAGTTGCATTTTAATTTGCTCCCAACACTACTAGAGCAAATTAGCAGAAGACAGGATTGAGTCCTTTTTTTTCCTCCTCTCTAAATTAAGCCAGATAGTTTTGTAACATGAGGTACTGGCAAAATGCAGAAGTCCCTGGATGAAGCCCAAAAGTGCAGAAGGTCAGGCTAGATAAGACCTTCTCAAGCTTTCTTTGCTCATTTATTACTATTGGCATGAGCATTGAACCAGCAGCTGCAGTTACTGGCCACCTACACACAGGGAGTTCATACACCTTTTTGTTGCGATCTGCATACCAAAAACAAAGGATCCCCCCCACACACCCCAGATTAGCTGATCTAATAGACGTAATTTTTACAGATCTGAAAAAGGAGCCATTCTTAAGGACTACAAAAAGCAGCAGCGGTCAGGGACTACTAAAACTAAAGTATGGAAGGTAGCCAATAAAACTCCCTCCCCTCCAGTCTAATGGACTAAGGTAGTAGGAGATTGTCCTCTTCTAAACCAACAGGCAAAATGTGTTTGACAGCTCAAAGGCAGATGTGCAAAGCAGCTGAGGCAGGAACAAAGGAGAAATTAAGGACAGATCTGAAACTGGATCTATTCAATTCATTAGTCATGAAAAACATATTCATGATTTGAGATGTAAAATGTGAGAAAAGCAAACGTAGCTACATTTATTTTGCAACGAAACAACAACTGTCAAGATCCACTGAAATTACATCTGCTTACTGCTCAGGCTTCAATACACTAAAAGACTGACTGAAGTACTCATGCTGGGTTCTTCCTATGAAGATGTGGAAAACGCTGCAGGTCCTGAAGTAGTGGAAAGGCAGGATTCAATACGAAAATGATACAAGATAGACTCATTCCCACCACTTACACTGCTTTTCCAAAGCAGGTAATCCCTGTTTAGCCTTCTGTAGATTTCATTCAAGACCTCCACTTAACAAAGCAGCATCCTGCAGAGGGCAGCTCTCAGGAAACATTTATTCAATGATCTTCATAAATGGCCTATTAAAAAAAGCAACCCCATTATATGGTTCTGCCTGAATTTTCCTTCCTCCCTACACTGGGAAATGCACTAGCATCCAGACAACCAGTTCTTCCCAAGGAACCTTCTTTGATTCAAGGTGCTAGATTCCAGCAACTGGAAGCCTCCACGAACCCAACTGAAACACACCGCCTGCCTTCTGTGCTTTCATACATTTTCTGCCTTGACATGATGCACATTTGCACGTGTCCATCTCATCCTTGCTCGGTTGCCTAGCACTCATTCCAGCACAGCTCTGCACAAACTTTTGTGCCCAAGGCATCAGCTGTCAGCACTTGGTACATATTTTCAAACTGAGAAAAACATCATGAAATTTGATTTGAATCTTTTTAAGGTGAGTTTGGGAATATCCCCCTGGGTCTAACAAGACAGACATGCACCTGGACAAGCAAAAAGGGTTAATTAAATCTGGAGGTGCTCATAAATAATGGAATCTGCATGCCAGCAGCAGAGCTGAAAATTAGCAAGTTTCAAGGCTCGCTGTCACACTCACTGCAGAGCAGCTCCAGAAAATGGTGCAACCATGGCAATCCAAATGGATGACCATGACAGGATCCCTCTCCCTCAGGGAAGGAGATCTGTACATTAACTGTTTCAGAAACGCAGTAAGATAGAATAACTGTACCAGACACAAGGTTGATTTGCCACCTATGAAATAAGGATGGCTTTGAAAGGCTGTGAACAGCTCCTACATGTTTGTTCATTTTGCCCACTCATCCACGCCCCTGCAGATCCACTCACCCTTCACTGCAGCACTTTCATGGTTGCCACTTAAGTATCAGGAGAGAGACAGGAGAGGAAGGATTAGAGGGCAGAAGATTATTCAAGTAAGAATCCTGACCTTTCGGGTCTTGCTGCTGGTGATTAGACCCTCTCTGAAAACAGCACTTACCCAAATTACTGCTTTAGTAATTCCCTAATAAATTCCCTACCTGTAGAGTGGTTGCTCCTATTGGGGGTTAGGTGTGGGAATTGAAAGAAGTCTGTGCCTAACACTGAATGCTGAAGTGGAAGACAATAAACCCAGAGCACTCAAGGTTTTCACTTCACCATCTCCTGTTGATAGAAATGAGGCCACTGGTGCCCATGGAGAAATCCACTATTCCAGACTCCACTGTGGGCTCCCGGCAGCCAGGCTGGAGAACGGGTCAGGCCACACTCCCTTGCTGCACTCCTGCCTGGTATGTTCCCCCTTCCAGAGGGGGATGAAGGAACTGGCCAAGAGTTGCCAGTCCCACTCAGCACCTCCTTGCAGCTGCACAGAACTCTGGAAGGTGTGATTTCTGGACAGCAGCAGTGCAGAGGGACCTTGGCAAATTTCTGGGTAGCCCTGGTTTGCACAAAGTCTCCCACCCCCATCCCTCCCTGAGTCTTCCTTGAAGTTGTGGACTGGCTGCTTTCCACAGAGTGGTGGGGATTAGAGGCCATACGTGGAAAACTACCACCCCACAGGCTGGCGCAGAAACACAGCCGAAGTGATCTAACTTTGCAAGTCTGCACTCCTACACTTGCAGAATGTGAGGACTGAGGGCAAGCTTACCAAGCACTTAAAATAGGCAGTGTGTAATGGACTCAAGGGAGCCAGCAAAGAGCTCAGGTGGTCACTGGTGATGCCCTAAAGCAGCAAAGCAACATAAACTGACGGACTCTAAGTCCCCTCTTTTCTGTCGTTTTGCCTTTTTAGGTTGGTAACTCCCCTACAAGATAGTCTTCTTTATTGATGTACACCTTCTAAAATTCCTTTTGTCTATTTTGTTTTTGCAAAGGGCTACCTTCAGCCTGTCTCTTTGTACCTTCCTACTTCCCTCCACATGCAACCAGTTTTGCAACAAAATCAAGCAAATGATGGAAACACACAACTACCCATTTGAATGGATAAGCAATTACAAACAAAATGCACACATCACAGGCATTTGTGAAAGAGTAGCAAAGGACTAAAAATCAGGGGTAGAATTCCAGATCAAACACATCTGCATCTCATAAGTGATGCAACTGCGTCAACTTGATGTAAGCCTCAAGAAAGAGGGACCTCTCTAGAGCCTCACTTCAGAAACAGGCCAGTACAGAGGACTCTCATTCCTGCCCTATGTGATTTATGGCCTATGAGCAGAGAATCCCTCCATGAGTACATGAAACCCCAAACTAAAATAAACATCAGCCATTAAAACAAGGATTAAATGCTTGGTGGATTCTTTATTTGAACAAACTGATGTTACAAATTTTGTGGTGCAGATGTTAAGTGTTAGTGTGAAGGCACGAGAGGCCATAAAACATAGGCAGGAGGCTGTCAGAGAAGTTTACATTGCAGGGAGCATACATAACCAAACTGCACACGAGCTTAGGAGTCAGGTGTTCATGACTTAAGAACTCAGACAGATTCATGTGAAATACGAGCTGAAACAAGTCAACCTATAACACAGCATGTATATGCTGAGGGTGACTAGGCACAAGGGACATTACTCTTTCACCAGCCACTTTGACAGTGTGCTGCATACTCTCCCAGGCCAGAAATTCCACAAAATTCAGGACTACCAGGTGTCAAAAGAAGGGCAATACACTCCTGGACACTTAGAATGAAAGTCCATGCAACACTGCACAAGCTTTTAGTCACACTTATAGATAGTCACCTACAGAGCGACCAGCCTTCTGCAGTCCAGCAGGCTCTGAATGCTTAAGATGGCAGAAAACAGCCTCTACTCCTGTTAAGCGTAATACAATTCTGAAACCTCAGTAGAAAACTCCTTATGTTCAGTGCTTTTAATGGCAACCTAACACAGAGGCAATTCCAAAGCAACCGCCCCAAATGACCTTTTCCTATTACACACCGAAAGCCCTGTCTAACACTGCTTTTTGGCACATTCTCCCTGTAACTGCTGAGTCCTTTCCTCCTCCTGCCTCTCTTCCAACATATTTCCCAGACACGTCTAGAAAGAAATCTCCTCTCCTAGCTCTCAACTCTCCACTTTTTTTCCTCCATCTTCCTCCTTGTAATTTTAGCTACCTCAGTCCATTTAAACCTACAGAGAGTGTCTGGAGGCACTTCAACAAAAGACATGAACAAAAGCAAAACTACAGTCCCCTGTGCAAAGCCATATCTCTTCCTAGAACCCTCTGCCTACTTCTGCTTTAAAAATCCTTTCCAGTTATTCCTCCAGCAGGTCCCTGCCAGGTCCCTTCACCCACGGCCCTTGAAGCAGCCCTCTTGGCTACCACACGACCTCTAAGCTACCTCTCCGTCCGCCTTTGGGCTGTTATTTCAATGCCACAAGAGGAAGGTGAGGATGTGCAAAACCACAAGCAGTATCATTTGTCTCTCTGCCTCAGGATTCAATTCAAAACTCATGGACTTCACTGGAAACATCCCTTCGCTGGCTCCTCAGGCTTTACACTCAAACTCTGTGCACTGGTTACCTTACAGCTGCAGTTCTCATCCATATAACAGAGAGGTTTTTCAAAACACTGATCTCCTGAAGAAAAAAAATAAATCACACTTCAGC